ATATTATAAGATAATTAGAAATTTGAACACTGGCTGGTTATTTGATGATGTTAAAGGGAGAACATTAATTCTCTTTAGGTGTGATAATAGCATTGGGGTTACGTTTATTTCTAAAGAGCCCTGGGGCGCCTGGGTGGCTCAGTTGGTTAAGCGTCTGCCTTTGGCTTGAGTCATGATACCAGGGTCCTGGGGTCATGATACCAGGGTCCAGGGATCGAGTCCCATATGGGGCTCCCTGCTCACTGGGGAGCCTGCTTCTCCCTCTCCCTCTTCCATTCCCCCTGCTTGTGCTCTCTCTCTCTCAAATAAATAAATAAAATCTTAAAAAAATAAAGAGTCCTTATGTTGTAGAAATATGTATTGAAGTATTTAGGAAAGAAATTGTATGATGTCCGGGATTTGCTTCGAGATAATACAGAGTATGTTCTATACTTTAACTGTGGTGGTTACATTCATTCATGAAAACTCTGAACTGTGCACTTAAAATGTGCATTTATTGTATGTAAATCATACCTCAGTAGATTTTTAAAAAATGGGAGTAGGGAAGGAAGCGGGTGGGAGTAAGGATGAAACAAGATTCGCTATGGGCTGATAAGTGTTGAAGCTGGATGTTGGGTACATGGAGGTTTATTGTACTCCTCTGTTTATTTTGTATGGGTTTGAAAATTTCCATAATAAAAGCATTTTTTAAATTGCATGAGGAAGATGCTATTTCTATTTTACAGATGAAGAAACTAAAGCAGAGGTTAAATAACTTGCCCCCTGAATTACACAGCTGGTAAAATGATGAGTCAGGAATATGAACAGACCATCTGAGTCCAGAACTTCAGCTATTAATCATGGATACACATTTGCAGAGGAGGTAGAGCAAAGTGTGCTTGCGGCTACGGTGGGGTGGGGGTGTGTGTGTGCAGCACTGCTGGGTGGGAACGGAGTCTGACTTAGGGAATCCTGGAAGTAAGATGGGCATAAATGGTGGTGGCTACATTGCGGTGGGCCAAGAAATGGGTCCCCCTCATAGATTCGTTGTTGTGAGGGTAGACTTGTGGTTAGGAGCGTGGTCTTGGGACCCCCGCTGCCTGGGCTTGAGTTGTGGCTCTGACACCTGCTAGCAGTGTGACCTTGGGAAAGTCACTTAAAATCTCTGTCCCTTACTTTCTTTACTTATAACATGGATATTGATGGCAAAGTAAAATGGTGTGACCAGTTTGGAAAACAGTTTGGCAGTTTCTTACAAAGTTAACATCAATTTACCATATGATCTGGCAATTCCACTCTTAACATGAAAACCTACGTCCACACAAAGACTTGTATGCCAGTGTCCATAACAGTACTATTCATGAAAACTGAGAAGTGGAAACCCAAATGTGATTTGCTACACAAAATATGGTATGTCCACACCGTGGGATACTACTCAGTGAGAAAAAGGAATGGACATGCGACAGCATGGATAAACCTCCAAAACATTATGCTTTCATGAAGAAGTCAGATGCAAAGACCACATATGCTACGATTCCATTTCTATGAAATGTCCAGAAAAGGCAGATCTATACGGACAGAAAGCAGATTAGTCACCCACTGCCGGGGGTGGGAATGGGGAGTTGCTGCAAGTGGAGATGAGGGATTTTCTTAGGAAATGTTCTCGAATTGGATTCTGGTGATGGTTGTGTAACCCTGTAAATTTAATAACAATCATTGACTTGGATGCTTAAAATGGGTTATGTATGGTATGTAAAATTAAAAAAAAATAGTGCCTATCTCCTAGAATTGTTACAGGAATTACATAACATAAAGTTCCTAGACAGAGACTGGAATGCAGTCGGTGCTCTAGAAGTGACCATACTGGGCCGGAACTCTGGGGCCATTTCTCTGCTGTGCCTCCTTCCAGGGAAAAGGACAACTGAACAGGTGCTGCTCTCAAATCCTTGAACAGGGGCCTTTGGGTGAGACTCAGATGGGCCACGGAGCGGGGGAAGGCTGGTTTCCAGGTCTCTCTAGGCCCTTCCTACCCCTTATTCCGGAGGTGTCAGATGGGACCCGGCATCCAGGCTTGTCCCTCTTTTTCCCCTTATGGGGAAGAGGGGCTCCTGAGAATGGTGTCGCCTCCTCATCTTGCCAGCTGAGGACGGGGTCGAGTGTCCTCTACCGTAGGTAATGGGAATTGCAACAACTGGGCCAGCCGGCTCACATCGTGTTTCCACCCTCCTGACTGTTGTGAAGACGCTACTGTTGTCCCCTTTTCACTGAGAGGGACACCGAGACGCAGAGTACTTAGGTGACCTGCCCTGGGTTGCAAAGCAAGGAACCTCCAGTCCAAGCCCTCTGAAAATGGAGGTTTGATGACTTCAGGTCCTTTCAGCTGGAGAGTTACTCACACTAACCCCTACCGTTGGTAAAGTGCTTCCATACCCACAACGGGAGGGTGGTGGTGGGGTTCCCATCTGGGCTGTATTCTGGGGTGCCTGATTAAAGGAAGGGGAAGAAGGGAAAGTGGAGGTGGAGGGAATTCCTTCTCCAGGGCAGGACTCCCAACAGTAATGATCCCCAATAAAGCCCCTAAACTCAGATCTGAAGTGGGAGAAAGAGGAGGCCATTGATCTGCATGGTTAGGTAAAATTCATTCATTTATTCATACTGAAGAATATCTTGAGTGTTCTCTCCTTATGTCAACACTGTGCTAGGCACAGGAATGCAAATATGAGTGAGACTGTAGGGGATAGGAGGAGTTTCCCATTTCAGGTTCCTATAGGTGGGGACCAAGCTCCCGCCCCCTGCATCTCAGTGGCAAAGAGGCTGGAGTACAGTGGGTTTGAAGCAAATGCCCTCTGCCCCACAATCCAGAGAAATCTGTCACTGCTGTCTCAGCGTAAGAGTTCTCAGCATTGTCCCCCAGAAGAGACAGCTGCAAAGATCATCATCCTTCCAGAACTTTCCTCCTGTGTGTGGCAGGGGGAAGGGAGTTGCAGAAGGTGGGGAGGGAGCCGAGGCTTTTGGAGCACTCAGGAACCCTGGAGTGTAGACCTGGTAGGACCCCAGGATCTCCCCTCATGACAACCGCCCTGAAGACTTCTACAGAAGATGCTAGGGGGTGAGTGTTTGGAGCAATAGCACACCATACTCTCTAGTTCCTCAAACCCTGGCTCCACCCCAGGGCCTTTGTCTGTGGCCTCTGCAGAAGGGAGGTGGGGAGGCAGACCTGCCTGATCCCTTTCCTCCCAAATATGATTTCATGACGTGTAGAAAGACAATTCTTCTGTTGTCACTGCCAGGAGGGCAGGGATGCAAGCTACATTATTTGCCCCCTTACAGAAACCCTGTCTTACTCCGGCCCCAGAATGAGATATTCTCTCTGTGACACTCTCCCCAACTTCTACATTCTTACTCCAAGCTATCATACCAATCTCTTTATATCTCTGGGGATAGGAAGCAGCCATATTCCAATAACATGATTTTTATCAAGAGAGAAATATTCCAGGGATTCATTCATTCACTCAAATATTTATTGAGCACCTATTATGTCTGGGTACTGTTTTAGGCCGTAGGGATGCAGTAGTGATTAAGACAAAGTTCTCATAAGCTCCTTTCCAGACTAATCAGAAACAGACAATAAAGAATAAATACATTCACAGACTTTCATATAACAGTAAGCTATACAGAAACTAAAGCAAGTTAAGGGGGACAGTATGTGCTGTGGGGAGGTGGTCCTTCATTATCAGGATTTTTTAGGGGGGGGTTTCATTTTTTCTTTGCTTCACTCTCCTTGGGAGAGATAAGACGATCTGGTTGTCCCCTCCTCTGGACTCCTCAGCCCATTTTGGCGGCTCAGCTTCAGAGGGCAGCGTCTTGGTATTTAAGGGGCCTGAAGAGCCAGCCCCTCGGAATTTGGTCAAGGGGCCATTAGAAACTGCATTAGAAAAATGGAAACAAGTCTACTTACCGTCTTCCTTGGGTGTAATAACACTCTCCACCCCCCGGCTCCGAATTTATTTTTTCCTTTGTTCATCTTGCACACACTTAATTCCCAACTATTTTTTGAATCCCGAATGGGCCAGGTGCTGTCCTAGGGCACCAGAACAGAGAGGTAGGAAACATTCTCTGCCCGCAGGAGTCCCTGCCATGGAAAGCTTGTCAACAACCATTGCCTCATGTCATCTTTTCCCTCAACACTGTTTTTGTGATTCATCTGTTTATTCACGCAGCCCCAAGAGAGTGGATAGGTACATTCCCATTTTACAGATGTGAAAACCGTCACTGCTAAGGGAAAAACGACTTGTTTTGCGACAACCCAATAGCCGGACGCCACCAGGCCACGTGCAGCGGCGCGTTTCGCCCCTCGCGATCCCACCCGCGCACGTTCCCTCTTTTCCTCCCTCCCAGCCGCCGCCGCGCCGGGTCCACGTGTGTGTGTCTGTGTGCGGAATGGGGACGGGGGCGGTGCCGCCGGAGGGGTGGGGTCCGGGCTAACGTCACAGGCCTTGCTGCCCAATCAGCGGCGGGCTCGCGGCCCCGGCGCTGGTATTGGGGCAGCGAGGGGGCAGTTCTCTATAACGCGGTCTCCGGGAGCCAGCGGGGAAGAAAGAAGCCGAGCGGGCGGAAGGCGCCCTCCCCGCCGCCTGGGCCCGGGCACCGGGTGCCGGGCCCGGGGTCCTTCCCGCCTCCCGCGGCCTCCGGCCGCTTTGTTTCCCCAGCCTCTGCGCCCTGGGCTACTGGAGAGGGGCTCCCGCCAGGGCTGCGCAGGGAACGCGGCGGCAGGAAGGGCGGCCGACCGCGCCGGGACTCGCAGGGACCCAGGAGTCCGGCCGCCGGGAGGGCCGCGTGACGAGATCGAGGAGGGAGCCAGAGCTCCGCGGCCCAGGGTTGCGGGCCGGGGGCGCCCGTGAGCAGAGACCTCCCCGTCGAGGGGGGGCGATGTTCCCCTCGCCCGTGGGCTCTTCGGGCAGCCAGGGCACACCGCCGCTGGGACCAGGGCCCCCGCAGTGGGCACCCCCCCGGACGGTTCCATGGAAACTCTGTGCCCCGCTCCCCGCCTCGCAGTGCCGGCGTCCCCGCGAGGGTCGCCCTGCTCCCCGACACCCCGGAAGCCGCGTCGGGGGACCCAGGAGTTCTCTCCGCTGTGCCTGCGTGCCCTTGCCTTCTGCGCCCTTGCCAAACCTCGGGCGTCTTCTCTGGGCCTGGGGCCTGGGGAGCTGGCGCCGCGGGCCCCGGTGCTGCTGGGCCCTCGCGCCCCCCTGTGCACCGGCGGCTGGGCCGCGGATGGCCTGAAGCACCTCGCGGGACCAGCCGGGCGGTCCAGCGATCCGAACGCCCCGACCGGTCAGGATGCCGACGCCGCAGTGTGCCCGGGCCGTGGCGAGGAGGAAGAGGGCGGAGGCAGTTTCCCGCACTTCGGCTCTCGCTCCGGCTTACCTCCCGGCCGCTGCCCGGCGTCCCTGCGCCCTCGGGAGTCTCCGACCAGCTCCGCCTCGGCTCCGCCTCGGCCCGCCTCAGGTCTCGACTCCCAGCCGGGCCCCGCCGCCAGCCCCCATCAGGAGCCCAGTTCCCGGCCTCCGCCGCCACCTGCGGGCCTCTCCACCGAGCCCGCGGGTCCCGGGGCCGCGCCCGAGCCGGGCCAGACGGCCGCAGTCGATGGAAACCCCCCGCAGGCCGCCCCCGAGGCACCAGCCGCTAGCCCCTCGACGGCCAGCGGAGCTCCGGCCGCGCCCGCCGATCTCCGCCAGGAACATTTCGATCGTCTGATCCGCCGGTCCAAACTTTGGTGTTATGCGAAGGGCTTTGCTCTCGACACTCCGAGTTTGCGCCGGGGGCCCGAGCGGCCGCCAGCAAAAGGGCCCGCCCGCGGAACCGCCAAGAAACGCCGGCGGCCGCCGCCCCCCCATCGCAGCGCACAGCCCCGCCGCCCTGCACCGACGCTCCCCACCACGAGCACCTTCAGCCTCCTCGACGCCTTCCCCTGCCCCCCGGCCCTGGTGGTGGGGGAGGACGGAGACTTAGGGCCGGCATCCTCGCTTCGCCTCCAGGGAGACTCAAAGCCCCCGCCTGCTCACCCGCTGTGGAGGTGGCAGATAGGGGGTCCTGCTGTCCCTGAGCCCCCAGGCCTCAAATTCTGGGGGATCAACTTGGAGGAACTTTGAGCATGACACCTCTTCCGCCAAGGGGGGAAAGTTGGGGCCACGGCCAAACTTTGGGCTCGAGGACAGGGCCTCATTTCTCACATTTGCCTGTTCCCTTTACGTTTTACGGGCTGCGGTCAGAGGGACCTCAAATGACAGTGGTCTTCAAGCACCTAACTGGTTGGGGTGACACCCCCTCCCCCTCATCCTTTGGAGACGAACCAAGGGCTGGAGTCAGGAGAAGGCTTAACGGAAAAAGGCTTAATGACATAGATTCCAATCCCTCCCCTCTTCCATCTCGGATCTCTGGGGGCAGGGCCTTCACCCCAGGGGGAGCAAAGGAGGCTACCGCTCAAAGACAAGGAAAAAAAAAAAAAAAAAAGAGGGAGAGAGACCTTGGTGATGGACAAACCGGTTGTTTCTGTGGGCGAGCCAGGGGGATGAGGGGGCTGTGGTGGGGGTGGGGAGGTGATTGGCAGCTCCCTGGGGGCATCCCCCACCCCCACCATCCAGGCCTTTAACCCTTCACTCCCCTCAGGCCTTCCCCAGCACTCCACCCCGAGGGAGCCTTCATGGGGGAGGGGGCAGCTTGGGCAAGGGGGGGATCACCCCCTCCCTGTTCTTTTCCTAAGCCCCCTTTCCCCCCACCAAGGCAGGTGACCCCTAATTGGCGAGATCTTCAGTCTCAGCCACGAGCCTTTCCTTTTTGTCCAGTTTTGGAGTTTCTCTCCAATTTTTCCTGTTTGCTTTCAGTTTATAAGGTCTGACGGGTGAAAGAGGACCTCCCCCTGGATCCATCAACCCCCTCCCCAGTTTGCTTCTCCAATTAGGAGGGGCAGGGCGAAGGGACCTCCTCCTTTCCCAAAGCGCAGACTTTGCCTGGGGGAAAGGGCCAGAGACTGTCCCAGGGAAAGTAATGGAAGGTGGAAGAAATCAATAAAATCAGACCAAACAAGTTGCCTTTCGAGGCCCTCTCCACCGATTTATGGATGGGAGGGGGTGGAGGTAGAGGGCAGGCCTGGGTCCATTCTTTGGACACCCAAACGCACCCCCCTCAAAAGCTAGAGAGGAGGCTAGCTGCCCTTATAGAGGGCTTAAATTACAGGGTGCTTGCCCTAACCTCAAGGGTCCTGCGGGGCTTGAAGGGGCAAAGTTTGGGTTTGAATGGGAGCTGGGCTGTGGCATCTTCAGCTTCCTCCCCTAACTAACTTCAGGCATTTCGGGAGTTGTCAGGGACCTGATGGATCCGATGGGGGCAGGGCCAGGGGATTAGTTTTGAGGTCAGAGGTTCTGTTTTCCCAGGGGGAGGGGAGAGGTAGGCCTGGACCACACCCGGCAGCTGAGAGGATCCCCCAGAGTCAGAGAGGGGTGGAATCGCTTTCCCCTTCACTCAGGTGAGATCAGGGGAGCTTAGCTCTTAGGGAGACCCCAGGTTTAGGTGTGAGGGGAAGCTGGGGGTGGTAGATCGGCCCGACAAATGAGGGACCCAGTGACCCTTCTGCCCACACTAGTGAATGGCACCCCCTTTTCCCCCAAAAACGGGGTGAGGGAGAAACAGTTCCCACATATGTTGCTGGGGAAGGACTTGTCTCCTTTTCTGTGAAAATGCTTTGTAAAAAGTTGTTATTGTTTGCATAGAGCAGATTCTTGAGAAAAACTGTTTTGCACCACAAAAGTTTTGTTTGTTTTAAAAACTGTCTCTTTCCATTTTTTTCTCCGATGGGGGTGAGGGTGGGGGTGGGGTGGGTGGGCGTGGGTTGGGCTTTGCTCTCTCTCTCCTTAACATCTGGCCTTTATGAACCCTGCTGACCTCCCCTCCCCCCCTCCAGCTGTGTTGTGGGGAGGAGGGGGAGGGCAGGGAGAGGGCCTCCCACTCCCGTGCTTCAGGGGTATCCTGCTTATTTTGCCCCCCAAGAATGGGGAAGGCAGAGGAAGAAGGCAGACGTGAGGGGTGGGAAGAGACTCGCTGTGAAGAGGGGGTCTTGTGTGCAAGGAGAAATTCAGAAAGGTAGGCTTCTGTTTTTAAAAAGCTCCCTGCTTTTAGTCATGTGGTTCGGGGCAGCTTTGGCCCTTTCGACCAGCCTGGGTGGGGTGGTACGTGCTTTGGGAGAAGGAGAAAGGTGGGTGGTAGAATATCCTTTGCCGACTCTACTTCTCTGAGCAGTGGGATGTGATGCAGTTCATTTTGTCTTCCCTCCTTCCTCCTTAAATGAAAGCATTAAGCATTAAACCTGAGCCTGGAAGGAGTCTGGGCGGTGAGTTAAAAAACACACCTTTTGGCCAGACCGGGAACTCCCCTTGCTTGCTGACTGGCTTAATTTGGAGAAACTCGGGACTGGGGGCTTCTCCAGAAGCTTTCTAGTCATTCAGCACCACAGGGGACTGTATTTGTTTTCCTGCGGCTGCCTTAACAATTTACCACAAACTTGGTGCCTTAAAACAACAGAAATCTTTTCTCTCACAGTTCTGGAGGCCAGAAGTCCAAAATTAAGGTGTCAGGAGGGCCATGCTCTCTCTGAAGGCTCTAGGGGAGAATCCCCTCCCTGCCTCTTCCAGCTCCTGGAGGATCTGGGTGCTCCTTGGGCTGTGGCTGCATCACTCCCATCTGCCTCGGTCTACACGTGGCCCTCCCCTCTTCCGTCTCTTATAAGGACACTTAATGGATTTAGGGCCCACCCACATAATCCAGCATGATTTCATCTTGACAACTTTAATGTAGTTACACCTGCAAAGACCCTTGTTCCAAAGAAGGTCACATTCACAAGTTCCAGAGGGAGGGGAGTTAGGACACAGCCAGATCTTTTTGGGTGCCACCATTCAGCCCACCCCAGAAATGGAGTTCCTGAAAGAAGGAACTACCCAGATTTTCTGGGGAAAGGAAGCATGTGCTGCAGTGTGTGGGGCTGGTCTGGGGTGCTGCCCCTCTGGATGTGGGGTCGCAAGTCTCCCTGAATTGGAGCAGCTTGGTGAAGGGGTAGACTTGGTTTCCTTGCTTTTTCCAGGCTGACCCCAAGGATGCTAGGACTCCACCCCCCACAACACTCACTGAGGGGGGCGGGGAGGGCAGCTCAGTCTCCCCAGGAGGGTCCCCGGAGGCTCTCCCTTCCTCCTGTCCTGTTTCCTCGTCCTTCGGAGCTGCCCTTCGACCTCTGTGGGTATCTCCAGCCCCTGCTCCCAGATTGTCCCTGCGTGTTCTTCTTTCTACCTCTCCCCACCCAGACATTGCGTCCTCTGAGGCTCTGCCAGTGGCCACCCTGGGTTTGGTGGGATGTGGAGATCAAGGGTTTTTCTTAGCTTCTACCTGGGTCTCTCTTGCTGGGTTGTTTTTTTTTCCTTTAGTCTCAAGGGGTCTCTGTCTGTGGGCCCCTACCTCTCAACAGCTCTGGGGCTGGTTATCTGCCCCTCCACATCAGGACCGCCTGCACGACCCTGAAAGTGAGGGCCTCCTTAAATTCTGTTCCCCAGGCCCCTCGCCTGCCTCACCCTAGTCCAGCCCTGCTCACCAACACCTCCCTCCTCCTGGGAGCCGCCCCCACACCCTCTGCTTCTTGCCTCTTAAATCTTTGCAGCTTGACTTCTGCTCCCTGAAATGGCTCTTTCCAGGGTCACTCATGGCGACCCCCCAACCACAAATCCAATGGTTGCCTCCTGGCCATCCTGACCCCTGTATTTCTCCATGACCTCCACTGGATGTTCGCCAGGGTCTCCTAGTTCTGTCCTGTAAGAAGTCCCTGCTCTGTCTTCTGTGCCTCCTCTTCTTTCTCTGACCTCAGGAAGCTTTACAATACAGGGAGCCCCGTGATGTCCGGGTGGTGTCTACCCTCTGCCCCCACGTCTCCACACGTGATGCCCTGCGGCTCTCCGTCTCGAGCCTTCACACACATAGGTATGTGAGTCGAAATTACTGTCCCAGCCTCCTCTTCCTCCAGCTCAGCCCCTCTCCTGAGCTGATCTCTGAGTGGATGCTGGCAACTCATACTTTCCCTATTGAAAATTCAGCTCGGTATCTCCACCCACAGCCCACATCAGCCCCCCTGGTCAAGCCCACATTCTGGATATAGCTCTGCCTTTTTCCCCAAGGCTCAGCTCCTTGAATCCTCACCGGGTCCTCTCATTTGACTCACTGTTGTCTATTTCTGAACCTCTGTCTCCCACGGGCCTCTTCAGGGCCTCTCCTCTCCTCTCCATTAGGGTGCAGGGGGCACGATGCCTGGTCTGGACTGTTGCAGTAGCCACCTAACTAGTTTCTGTATCTCTGGTTTTCCTCTGATCTCCTCACATCCAATTACCTTCTTATTCAGCAGGTCCCCTGATTTAATTAGATGCAGCCTCCTTGGCCTATCATTTGGGGCCTTCTAGGATTTGACCTTAACTCTCATGGCCCTGTTTCTTCACTTTATATACCATGTAGTCCATCACATTGGATTGCCCTTCCTTCCCCAGCCACCCACCTCTTTCTCTACCTCCCTTCTCCAAAGCCCATTTGAAATGGTGTCTCCTCCACAAAAGCCTTTTTTGACACCCCCCCTCCCCCATTGGATGTCATCCATGCCACCTTTAGACCCTCTTTACTCTTTTATGTCTGGGCCAGGGGTGGTGGAGTGTGGTGGAAGAATAAGGGCTTTGGAGCCAAATACTCCTGTTCCCCCTTTCCACAGAGAGCCTGGGAAGCTAAGTCAGGCCGCGGTGGGGAGGGGAGCTGGAAATCACCTTTCTGACCTAAGCTTTCAGTTCCTTGCTTTGGCCTTAACTGAGAGTTATTAACACAAGAAGGACACTTAAAAATCACTCCTATAATTGTAGAAACTTCCCGAGAAGACACTATCCAGTGTGCCAAATCCCCCTACAGGGTGTTTATGCTTTCTTTAATTAAAGATAAAAAATTAAGATTATTGATGATAAGGTTGTAGTTGTGATTTTTTTCTTCATCTTTCTACAGTCATCTTGTACCTTTCTCTTCACTTTCTTTAGGTCCTGGATCTGTGTCCTGTACACCAGGCACCTAATGAGTACTTGTCCAA